CTCAACGACAATCCAATATTTGTTATTCTATAAAGGACAATCCAATATTTGTTATTCTATAATACCAACAAAATATATACTGCATTCCCAATACAATCAATTTGATACTGAAATTGCAAACTACTCCATCACAAAACATCTTCACCCACGATATAACGCAAAAAAATACTCGTCATGACATTTTAAATCAATAAAGACGTGACAATGAAGGGCTTTAAATTACTAGTGACAGTACAAAGAAGCAACATTTCGCTTTGTGTTCATGCTTCAACAAATAAGCAATTTGGCTGGAAGCTATATTTATTAAGAATTTTGCCCTTTCATTAATTTATTTCAGCCTTTGCCTAAGCAGAATAATCCTTTTCTATTTTCCTCGCATTACCAGCAAGCATGCTAGTATACTCGAGCTTTTGGAGGAAATGATTCAACTTCATCATCAAGTGTATTCATGTGAACTGGTCGGTAGTCCAGTTTAACTTTCTCGTTTTCCCAATATCTGCGGAGCAAGAAATGAGTTTATCAAACAAAACACGCATTGGCAAAAGCACTTGTTGACCAGGAAGTATTTATCACTATAACATCACACAATGTTTTTCATGCACACATTGGCCACCACTAACTCCAGGTATCTTGCCTCACTGTGGTCTATTCTCACAATTACATAAAACAATTCTCATCTATTATAAGAGTGTCCAAATCAGTGACTAACAAGTTGTCAAGAACTTATATAGCTAATGTTTGAACCTACAAAGCATTCAGATAACTAGCCATGATGAAAAGAAAAAAAAAAAATTGAGGAACCTTACCCTAATGTATGTTTCATCCAGTTCTCATCATCTCTTTTCTGCAAGGCAGACCAGATAAGACTCAGTTGTGCAGAAAAATATGAGCAACTGGCAAATAAAACTCAGTTCCCACAAATCCACATATGAGAAAAAACAAAAGAATTATAATAATGATGATAAGCATCATTCAGAATAATACTAATGATGATAATGATCATTCAAAATATGTTTTAGCACCCACCGTAAAATCTTCACGTGCATGGGCTCCTCTACTTTCTTTCCTGGCTTCAGCAGAGTGCATGGTGATGCATGCATTAATTAAAAGGTTTTCCAACTCAATTGTCTCTATCAAGTCCGAGTTCCTAAAAAAAATAAGTTGAAAGGAATAAGACAAAGTAAGCACATAAAAAATTAACAACTTGCAAAACAGATATAACTAGATGAAAAAAGGTACCATATCAAGGTTCTGTCCTTCAACTTGACGTCATGAAAACTCTCCCAAGCCTTATCAATCAACTGACAGCCTTCAAGATACAAAAAAGGATGCAACAGGATGGATCCATTAAAATATCAATCAACTGACATCCTTGAAGATAACAACAGGAGAACAATGTCCTGTTATAGCTTACCTTCTTCCAGCGTTTCTTGGGTCCGAAATACAGCAGCGTTGTTTTGCATTATGCGTTGCATGTTAAGCCGGATTTTTGATGTGGGAAGTGACCCATTTGAATTACGAATCTTGTCCAACCATGCAATGGTCTTCTCTCCAGCATCCTTTTCTAGTGGCTTTTGTTTCTCACCTGCAGTATTTATCACAAGTCAATCAAAAACCATATTTCTTGGACCATCAAGACGGCAACCAAACACTAGACTGACAAACTTATATTAACCTGGCTTTTGGATCTCAGCAACCCTATTAGCACAAGCACGACCAAAGACAACAATGTCCAGAAGAGAATTTGCTCCAAGGCGATTGGCACCATGAACAGAAGCACAGGCAGCTTCCCCAGCAGCATACAGTCCGGGAACCTCATAATCAGGATCATCACCTTTAATGGTAACCACCTAACCAACAAAAAAGAAACTAAGAAAAGCAAATACATACTCTGTTGATAATACTAAAATATCATGCAATTACTTTCAAACCTCTCCATAGTGATTTGTGGGGATCCCGCCCATGTTATAGTGGACAGTCGGCAAAACAGGGATTGGCTCCTTTGTAACATCAACACCAGCAAATATGGCTGCAGTTTCTGAAATACCAGGAAGTCTCTCCTTTAGGACTTCAGGAGGCAAATGATTCAAGTGAAGGTAGATGTGATCTTTCAAGGGCCCTGTTGAAAGAGAAGGAGAAACTTTAGCAACAAATGACATGTAGCGTAGAAAACATTCAGAACTTAGTACTGTAAGGTACATGAAACCATCTTCTATAACTTATATGTGTCCAAATACATATTCGAAAGTCAGAACAGTGTAAATCATGTAATAGACATTTTAGAACTGACAGGACAATAAACATAAAGTTCCTCAGGAACAACGTTTATCGATGGTCTTGGCGCCACCAAAACTGTCATCCTTCACAACGTTGGCAAGGAAGTTGGGAAGAAATCTGCCATGGTGACGCCATAAAGGCCATTTAAACAACATTGATCAAGTAAAAGAACCACTTGACATAACCGGTGGATCAATGTCAGCCAACATATCATGATAGACATAATATAGCGATAACTAAACTTGACAAATAAGTTTGATACAGAAGTGAATACAATGTAATTCAAGTAAAGATTGAGTGAAGCACAGGAAACCATGTCCAAATCACAACAATTAGAAACTGAATAAATATTTAAATTTTAAACTAAAACTTTACAGTTGAATTCAACCAATTCCAAGTGATATCCTTTAACCCTTGCAAATGACAAACTTGCGAATTTTGGCGGTAATCATATAATGTAGAAGTGATAGCATTCGAAAGGCAGCCAAGTTTGGTGGCAACTGGTAACCATATAATGTAGGGAGTGATTGCATTCAAAAAACAGGAAAATTCAGTGGAAGGTCCGGCATCAACACTAGATCGACTGATTTTACTTATAACAAGTAATGAGCAACGCCAAACTAGTGAATGGTTGCATTATTGACATAGGCAGGTACAAACGTCAACAGAATGCTTCTCAAACATTAGCATGAGTAGCTTGGCAAGAAAGGAAAATCTGATGAACATCAGGTACTTGGAACCATTTAAAGAAAGTTTCTATATCCAAATTTCAATCAACCACATTCTACCATTTTTTCATTACATACCAACACCACGCCCTTCCCGGATCTCCATCGTCATAGATCTTGATACAACATCTCTAGATGCAAGGTCCTTAGCAGTTGGGGCATACCGCTCCATGAATCTTTCACCTTCACTGTTCCTCAGAATACCACCTTCACCTCGGGACCCTGAAAAGTTGAAGTGAGGAAAGAAATTCATACAATTGAGTTGGGATAAATAGAATAAATCTGAGTAAGGACAAAACAAGAGAACCTTCAGTAATGAGACACCCAGCACCATATATGCCTGTTGGATGGAATTGAACAAACTCAAGATCCTGCAAGAAGAAATCTACATCAGTACGTGGAGAATAATCCACTACACGAGTCATTCAGGTAAAAGATGTCCCTTCCAATACCATTTACTAGCAGATAATTACAGCATGTTTTGATATGAAAATTTTTGGTTTTGTTGGATTTTTTGATGTGGTTTGGTTAATTTTGAAAAAGGTAGTATGGTTAATTGTTAGTGGGTATATTAAAATAATATTTAAAATAAAATAATTAAAAATTTGATGTGATGGTTAGTTAAATATTGTGAGTGGATGAATAGTGAATTAAGGTTGATGTGGTGTGTATGAATGATTGATTGATATTATTTAATTATATTGATAATATTGATGACAGTGGGATTGAGTTAAAGTTGAGTTAAAAAAAGTGGCTGAATTAAAATGTTGGAATTTTTTTTTGAGATTTCTTGTATACAAACATGTCCTTGGTAACATTATACAAAACCTCAAGGGGCAGTCCCGCACGCGCAACCATAGCATTGCCATCTCCTGTGCAAGTGTGAGCAGAAGTTGCAGAAAAGTATGCTCTGCCATAACCCTGAAAGGTACATTAGAACAAGCCACTTTACCAAAGTAACTTAAACAATCTGAAAATGCGATGTCGAAGCATTAATTATATTCTGGTAATATTGTTCAACAATATATAGTTTACCCCAGTAGCAAGAATTGTCGACATAGCACGGAAACGATGCAAGGTGCCATCCTCCATATTTAAAGCAATCACACCCTGGCAGCTACCTGATATCAATCAGCAAAAACAATCTAAGAAGTTGGGAATGACTACTAAAAGATGCATACTACAGTTTGGATACTGAAAATTTTATTGTTTGTCAATATCCAGATGAAGAACGTTCGAAGGTGACACGGTGAAGAGAAAGGTTAATATTAAGAGCAAGCACATGATCAGATGAAATACATGCGGAAGGAACTTTAGATAACTAACCATCATTGCTCATAATTAAATCCAGAGCAAAGTATTCAACAAAAAACTTTGTATTATGTTTCATAGCTTGGCCATATAGAGTATGCAACAAAGCATGTCCAGTTCGATCAGCAGCACATGCACAACGATATGCTTGTCCACCTGTAGAAATACAAATCGACAAATTAAATATTCTGTCAGAGAAAAAAGAAATGTGTTTCGCTGAAACACAACATGTGGCCATGCCTTTTCCAAAGTTCAAGCTCTGGCCACCAAATGCACGCTGATAAATCTTCCCATCTTCCGTCCGGGAGAACGGCAGACCATAATTCTCAAGTTCGATAACTGCTTTTGGTGCTTCTCTGCACATGTACTGAATTGCGTCCTGGTCTCCTGTGGGAAGAGCAATACCAAGTTTCAGACTTGTAATGAATTACATTGAACCTAAAAAAATCTTACTAAATTGGTTTAAAACTTGAAACAACAACATTATACAAAAATATCAAATCTTGTCAACGCTAGTTATATTTTTGGTTTCTTAGACACCCCAATCAATTTGAAAAAATGAGATAAAAATACCCGTATTTATACGAGAACAAATATAATTCCAGATGGTTAATCCTTAACAAGTCCGGCTTGTTTCAAAATCATATATAACGGAAAATTAGTAAAATCAGATACCTTTGGATTTTGATCTAAGGCCAGGATTCGTCGAGGTTCAAACATCGATTTTATTTAAAGAAAACGTAAATTATGCAGTATAGTCCAATGAAAAGATGCAATTCATTAATGAGAACTCAGAACATGCCTCGAAAGCATGAATACTGATGCAAAGAAATAAATCATGTAACTGGATTAATACAAGAGGCTGCCTTTGTTTTCTGGTATATGAAATCATCTTTATTAAATACCATTATGACACAATTACAACCAATACAGGAAACCTGTAAAGGACAGCCCTCTACAAAGATAAAGGATAGCATTAATGCTATTCATATTAACTCTTTTGTATATAAAAAATGTCTTATTGTTATATAACATAATGACACAATCACAACCAATACAGCAAACCTATAGTGGTCAATCATGTACAGACTACAGAGAGATAAAGGATAACAGCAATGTTATAACGGACAACAACAGCACTCATAGACAACCAGATACTGCATAATCAAGCGTCTCAGAACACAAGAGTTTATCTGGACGATCACTGTACCTAGCCAATCACTTCCCTTCACTGTATCGTACATATGCCACCGCCAATCATCCTCTGTCATATTTCCCAATGCAGCATTTATTCCACCCTGCACAACATATCGACCGTTATAAATCAGAAGTACATCAGTGTTATTAATGGCGGATGACAGAAATTGGCGACACACAGAAATTCCGCTATAGTGGCCGCCATGACGGTTGTGGCTCCACCATAGCCCCCGTCCTTCACAAATTTCTAAACGTGGTTAAGCAGAAATCCTCCACGCAATACCGCCATGACACGAATTTGATAACACTAAAGAGCATATGTAGACCGGAAGAGAAATTTGTAGCAAACTGGACTTTAAGTAACATAAATTAAGTAGTATAAACATAAAACTTCTCACGAGAAAGCCAAATATGTTGATGAGAATACAAGAAAAATAATAGGCAAAGCTGTATCTGAAGAAGCACATGCAATATCTTTTCTCAAGTACAAAAATGTCTCCATTTTCTTTATTGATAAGAGTCACGAAACAAAAGAATTCATGGAAGCTACCTACGAGATTTAGAAAAAAGGAAGTGATACAAATCCAATCAAACCACTGCATGCAAGAGCCAGAGACTAAGGAAACAACGTCAACAAAAGAATAGCGCAATTAAAGTGATAACATTCTCAATTTCTAAATCATCGCTGCCATTGTATCTGGATAATAGAAATTAGAAACACATAAATGTTATAGAAGAAAATGAGTCCATATGCTGCCACTAAGAAAAAGGAAAGAAAGAAAGAAAGAAAGAAAGAAGACAAACTGAACAACGTAGAGATATAAATAGTTAAATTACCTGTGCAGCAACCGTATGGGAGCGAGTAGGGAATAGCTTGGTAATGCAGGCTGTGTAAAACCCTTGCTCGGATAACCCTATTGCGGCCCTCAGTCCTGCACCGCCGGCACCAACCACCACCGCATCGTAGGTGTGATCCACAACTGTATAGGATTGAGTTCCCCCATTCTGTTTGAAAATCATCACACACAATATTAATTCAAAGTCCCAGCAGCTCGTCAGAAAGCTAAAAACTCCCTAAATACATCAATAAAGAGAAATAAACAATACCTATTCTCAAACTCGCTCATAAACAAGGAGACGAGGCCCCATAATTGGGCTTTTTTTTCAATAAACATGAGACAAAAACTGGACACCGAATCAGGGATGAAACACCAAATCCNTAAATGAAGTTGATATCATACAGACTCGCGGAAACAGAAAATCGTAAACGTACCGATTGAGCAGAGAAGAGGCGAGTAATGGACTTGACGGAGGCGGATTTGTTGGAAGGGATGGTGAGGCCACGGGACACACACCGCCACATCTTGGCTAAGAATAGGTATGTATCTGTTGTGTACGTTATGTCGATCACGGAGAATTGGACTGGAGAAAGAGCGATAGATCAGAAAATGAGAAGAACGAATTCGGGAGATCTGTTCTTGTTGCAGATGAATAGGGACTACGCCGAAAGTAGTTGCCCTGGATACAAGTGATTATTACACTTTAACCATCGGGATTTAATATTTATTTTTAGAGTAAACTTAGATTAGTCATAGTAGATAGCAACCTCTAAAGATATTTTTGGATTTTGAAAGAGGTGTATTCATTTGAGATTAGTGCATACCATGTGCGGTTAGGGTGAGCAAATTGAGACGAAATTGAAAAACCAAACTGCTATATCCGGTGTGGTTTGGTTCTGTTTTTCAAGAGTTTGGTTTTCGATGCAGTTAAAATTTTGAAAAACTGCACAAATTTCGGTGCAGTTCAGTTTTTTGTCCGAATGGTGCGCTTTTAACCGAACCGCACCGAATATGTTATTTTTTTTTTACATATAAGTTAACATGTTTGTATTGTAGGTATACATGCTCATTTTGGGCCTTTGGTTTGGAATGGCTAACATTAACAATAAATAAGTAAAATAATAAATAATAACAATAATAATTGAAATTTAAAAACATTATACTAAAATCTAAATTCTTACCCTATTTTTTCACTTTCAATTCAAATTTTGGGTCTTTGGTTCATTAGATGATGATGATGTAGTTTCATTTTATTTTGGGTGTTTAAAAAAAAATAATAAAAAAAATTGCGGTTAACTGAAACAATACCGAATCGAATCGGAAATTTCGGTGCGGTTTTGGTTCGGTTTTTCTACCAGTTTCGGTGCGGTTCGATTTGGGTAAATAAATATTATCGATTTTCGGTTTTTTGCAGTTCGGTGCGGTTTTGCACCGAACCGCACCATGCTCACCCCTATGTGCGGTGCATGGATAAATAGTGTTAAATAATAATTATAAATTCAAGATGAAGATAAAAAGTATTACCTAATAATCTATATCTATATCTATATGACAAGATTAACCATTTACTAAAAATGGTAGTAAAAATTTTTGAAAGCATTTAATGTATACTTTTTTGGAAACTTTTTAAATATATGCATTAATTGCTTCCATATACACGTTTCAAATAAGATCAAATCAGATATGATCAAATATTGTTTCCTTAAATAATTTTATTTATATCTGCAATAGTTTCATTGATATCCATTATAATAAATTACAAAATTGATTTTCCGTAATTCATGTTGATAATATTTTGGTCAAGATAAATATTACAACATATTTGAAGTTTTAACCATAATATTAACTTTTTATTCACAAGTATTCACTTTGTAAATGCTGAAGATTGGCAGCAAAAATCGACGAACCTTCATTTGTCCCAGGATATAAGTTGATCGAATATATAAGGGAAGTATTTTATTTTTTTGGTTTAATTAAATATTAGGTAATGAAAATTAGCTGAATTGTCTATTTATTTGTACATGAATAAATGGAAGAATTCACTTACCAAAAATGAAGATTTGAAGTGCGGGGTGTCAAACATTTCAAGTGAAGCAGCAACTCAAGACGAAACTTTCCTTATGGAACCGTAGCTTGGTATCGAAGGCAATTAAACTTACCATACAATAGTTCAGCATATTTCAAGTGCAAAAATATGGCCTAAAAGTGGTTGGTTGCATGAAAAATTCTTACATCTGGGAAGAAAACAATCGAGAGCAAAACATAAACGCAGAATTATTCAAGAGTGATTATTTTGTGTTGTTTGATTAAGTGTGAGACGAGAGCTTGTTCTCGTGCTCGTAGTGCACAAAAATGTTTCTTTTATTTTATTAATCTAAGTAGTTTGGAGGATAACTTAGATTAGTTTGAGGGATTCTGTAACGCCCCACTTTATTTTGAAAGATTTATCGAATTTTTTTTAAAAAAAATTACAACAAATTTTTCGCAAACTTAATTTAATTAAAAACTCAGTGGGCGCTATTTATTTTACCAAAAGCTTTTATCCAAAAAAAGCAACCACATTAAACAAAGATAGTACATGTACGATTATAAATTCATAAACTCACTAGCATTCATTAAGTTCCAAATCATAAGAAGATAATTCATAATTCCCAAGGTCAAAACGACATAATCAAGTATCCAAATTTCAACATGAGCTCATGAACTAAGTGGAAGCAAAATTAACAAAGCAATAATAAATGACATAACCACCACCCGTCTTATCTCGTCACCCGCCAACTGCTTAACCTGCATCCGTGAAGAGCAGGTGGGAGTGTGTACAGTTAAATATCGTACTCACACTATGCATATGAATAACATAACAATGGTATGGTCGCAACATGAACATAAACATTACACCATGTCACATCTCTAGTCACATCAATGACTCTAGTCTCATCAAAGACTCACTCATGTACATCTATGCTCATCAAAACTAAGCCATGCCATATCAGTGAAACATGAGAGTGCGTGCCACATCAATGACACGACCTTCTCATAGGTCTTAATGAGATTTACCTCACTGGGTAACCGTATCTTATCATACGGGGACAACCGTACCGACGGCCATCAAGCTCACATCGATAGACTACATGCTCATTTTCATACATAGATCACACCAAACTTTCATCACAATTAAAATCACACATATGCATAGATAATTTTGGAATAACAACCCACCTGGATTCCGGATTGATAATAACTCAAAGCAATGGAAATAGGTCGAGGCTGGACTCCTCAATTACCTACATTGAGTCAAGATGCTACAATCAACATCTATCTTGACTTTAAACGGAAAACACAAAACAGACCTAGTCGAACTTGTTTCGACTAAGTAGTTCGTGAAGTCCTGTGGATGTTGGAACACTAAGACTTGGCACTAAACTCGACCAAACCACATAAGGGAGTTCACATAAATCCATCTAAGGATTGACCAAGTCAAACTCACATCAAAACGAAAAGCAAGTCGATTCCCAACTTTTCATTTCAAAATCATGTTTCGAAAATAATAATCATTAACCACATGAAAATAGATGGTCAGGCTACCCTACGACCTAAGCTCTGAAATTTTACACAAAATTACATCTCCCAGAAACATGTAAAACCACAAATTTTCAGCTTCAAACTTGAAATACACTATTTTATAAAATTCGAATAAGATATCAACAAAATGGGAACATCAATTCATATTTGAACTTAATGAACGAATCAGGACTTGCAAATTTAACACAACAACATACAGCATGCTAAAGTCCATGTATAGAAATCTCAGCCCTTAACATTGACTGCTACTATTTTAAAAAATACATACGAGATTCAGCTGTTTATCAAATTTAAATCAAAACTGAATCAAAATAGATTCCAAAAATTCCCATCTTTTAACAGCATAATTCTACACATGAAATAGGCATCTCAGTAAAATTTCAGAATTTTTCATCAAACAACCGATTTATAAAAATTCAAACAATTTTCAGCAGATTCGATAAATAATTTATTAACCATATCAAATCAAGTCCAAAAATTATAATAACACAACACATAAACGACAGAGGAATGACATACTCGAATTTCAGCTCATTTGGTTCACGAATGAATTTATTATGCAATTAACACTACTCTGATCAGATTTCAGTATAATTATTAAAAATAGCTACAGGCTTCTAAAAATCACGAACTTTTTACAAAATGCTAGTATTGAATAGAGAACATTACCCTAAAAATTTCAAGTCGTTTCGAGCACCGAACTATTTTTAAAAATTCAAATACTAAAACAGCGACAATAAAGCTCGACAATTTTGACAATTAATCCGAAACACAAAAATTCTCGTCCGAGGCCTTCTCATAAGACCAAGGGCTCGACATTGTTCCAATATCCACTGACTTACACGACTTTCGAGGTCTCGTTCAATTTCTCATAATTGAAGAGATCCCGAACAACATAAACGACACATAAAATCATATCTTTCACCAAATATCATATCAAACACAATCGCACAACATACACATCTCGCATATCAAATCGCAAATCACACATATTCATAAATAACATAAACAATTTAAACGAGACGGAATCGACTAGGTACCGTTCTCGGGAATCGCTCGAAAACGGGAAAGAAAAGCGAGCAGCAAATACGCGGCGGCAAGCAGCGGCGCTCGACGGCTATGCTCGACTTGCGAGAGGGCTGCAGCGGTGTGTCTGAGGTTGCTGCGAAGTTGCTGTTGGCTCACGGCGAGGGTCGCCAGAACTCGGGCCTGCTCGCAGAGGTGGGTCGCCGCTTGGAATGGCTCTGCTCGCTGGTGGAAGGCGCTGCTGGTTCGCGGCGGCGCGCGGACAGGGAGGTCGTCGAAGTTGCAGATCCGCCGGGAAGAGCCTCGCGGGGTTGCTGCTGCGCGAACAGGAAAATCGCCGGAGGTGGAGCATCTGGTCGCGGCAGAGGGCAGGTCGTCGGGAGGAGAACTCGCAGGACGGCAGCGATGGTAACGAGGGATGGTGGGATCGAATTTGAGAGAACAGAATTGACGGGAGAGTGATGGCGCGACGATGTGACGGTGAGAGAAGGAGAGAGTGAGGGTGACAGGTTGTCTGCGCGAGGTCGAAGGATGGAAGAAAGAGGAGATGTGGTTTTTCGAGAGGAGAGAACGAGAGATTTGAGCAGATATCTTATGTCTGTGATGTGATAATCTTGCATGAAGGAGGAAAGGAAAAATCTGACATCATAAACGGCGTAGGGTTTATTTCCCTTTCCCCAAGCAAAAATACACACGCATACACGCTCGGGGAAGAAAAATCGGGTCTGGGCGCGGTTCAAGTGGGTCGGGTCGTGCGGTTTAATGCTGCTGGGTTCTCGTGTCTCTCGGGCTTGACTTAGCCAATTAAAATTCTCGGTCCAATCGCTCGACGATAAAAAAAAAAAATCGGATTTATATATATTTAATACACAAAATATTTATTAATACACAATTTAGCATTTAATTTACAATTAGGCATTTAAAGAAAATAATAATAACAATAATAAAAATAATAATAATAAAGACAATAATATTAAATAAAAATCTCAAATACTCCATAAACGAACGGGGCGTTACAGTCTACCCACCTTACAAAGAATTCCGACCTCGGAATTCGAAATACAAACTAC